CTTCTGGGTTTGTGTGTGTGTGTGTGTGTGTGTGTGTGTGTGTGTGTGTGTGTGTGTGTGTGTGTGTGTGTGTTTTTTGTGTCCACCCTTTGTGACTCAGATGTAGCCAGATCTACTTGTATGTCTCTATCTATCTATCTGTCCATCTATCTACCTACTAACCTATTTGTTTATCTAGCAATCTACCCATCTATCTATATATCTAACTGAATGCTAATAACATTCGAAGTTCAAATCACAAACAAGAAAAAACAACAAAAATAACAAACAAACAAACAAAAAAAAAATAATAACAAGATATGACGTCACCCCCCCCCCCACACACACACACACACCCACACCCTTCATAATGTGTTTGTTCTGTGTTCTGGTTCTTTTGTTCTAGCTCCTGAGTCACTCGAGGAGGTCGATGTGAGTTATGTCGGAGTTATAGAGTTATGACAAGTGAGGCATGTTGAGAAATCTGGGTTGACATACGCACATGTGGAATGGGTGTAGGTGCGTATGTAGGGGGGGATTATTTATATTTTTTTTATTATAATTTTTATTTTCATTTTATCTATTTATTTATTTTTTTTTTTTATTTTTTTATTTTTTATTTTTTTTTTTTTGTTTGTGATTTTCAACTTCGAAGGTTATTGGGCATTCAGATAGATTTATAATAGATAGATGGGTAGCTAGATAGAAAACAAATAGGTTTATATATATATATAATATATATATATTATATATATATTATATATATACATATTATANCAAGAGAGAGGAAGAGAGAGAGAGAGAGAGAGAGCCAGAAAGAGAGAGAGAGAGAGAGACAGAGAGACAGAGACAGACCAGAGAGACAAAGAGAACAGACAGAGAGACAAAGAGACAGACAGAGAGACAAAGAGACACAGAGAGAGAGAGACAGAGAAGAGAGAGGAGAGAGAGAGAGAGAGAGAGAGAGAGAGAGAGAGAGAGAGAGAGAGAGAGAGAGAGAGAGAGAGAGAGAAGAGAGAGAGAGAGGAGAGAGAGAGGAGACAGAGAGAGAGAGAGAGACAGAGAGACCAAAGAGACAGAGAGACAGAGAGAGAGAGAGAGAGAGAGAAAGAGACAGAGAAAGAGAGGATGAAAGAAAGGCTGTTTATAAGAGTTCAACGTCACACACGCATATGGAACCTTCTCCGTTACCTGTATCGCCGTCCTCCATAAATCCTTCCTCTGGAACTTTTAGCAATTCACGACGCCATTAGTTCGTGCAGAAGTAAATGAAATACGAAGGGATCGCCCCGTAGAATCCTTTAAGCTTTGCTGGTATATATTAATCTTTGTGTCTTTGATTCTACATTTGGTTCTTTGTCATGTCTTGGGTGTTATATCGTTCGCTTTGCCTTATCATGTTTCGTGATTTGTTTCTGTTCTTACGAATATTTTTTTTCGGCTGATATTTTCCACTCGATGTAATTTTTAATATTACAGCATCACTATCTTATAGGGCATATCCTGTGTGGAATTCATGTCTAACAAATTGCAACTGGAACAACGAAGGGAAGAACAAGAAAACACACGAATATTTCTTGTTCTTCCCTTCGTTGTTCCTGTTGCAAGGCATATCCTGGACCATGATATTATCTTACTGTCATGGTGAAGAGAGAATCTGGACATTCTGTGAGAAACGAGTATTGCATCTGCGCCTTTGACCTATTTTTATGAAACCGGAATGCTTTCTAAATCTTTGTCTGATCTTTGCTTGGCCAGAAGTTTAGCTTAACAAAAGCACTGCCGGTTTTTTTTACTGCTCGTTGGTACGGTGAAATGTTTCATTCAGCAAAAGCATTTTTGCAGTAATTTTGGAAATGAAAGGTAAATTCTTCTGCAGTTCATAAGTGACCTTGACTTATCTTCACTGCTATCAACCCACTAAGTGACCTCACTCTTCACCGATACCGTGTCTATCAATAACTGCTTCACCTTCTGGTTAATCCATAGCTAACGCATCACACTAAAAGACTTGTGTCCGCCACTTTTGTCTCTGAGCTCAGCTGTCTGCCGCACCATGGACGATTTTGGTTGCTTCACTTAACCAATACTTCGATTAATAGTTCATACAAATATTCTCTAGACTTCCCTGTCTCCTGTTTCTCTCTCTCTCATACAATCATTTTCAAGTTATAAATGGGTATATCCATAATGTCTAGTTTAACTGCCTGAAAAGGATAAAATACGAATACTTTACGTATCAATCTGGAAATAATGCATTTACATTGAATGATATTATGGTTATAAATAAGTGCTACAAAATACTGCGTGGATAGGAGCAAGGAAGGGATAGAAAAACGGCTGGGAAAGGAGGTTGACTGTTATGCAAAGTGTTCGTTGTATAATTTGTCTTTTGGTTTCATTCAGATCATGCACTAAATTAGACAAACCTTACTTTGTTTGTTTTCGTCATTTTTTGTTTACTAACGAAACAAAACACTGACAAATATAAGTTTGGCGTTTTAGAATATAGTTTATTTCCCCTTAAAATAGATTATGAAGAATATCATAGTGAATCCACGTGCACCCAGGTCACACTTAACTTCTAGAGGCATGTCCGGACGATTGAGTGTGCCTGTCGGGATCCATGCCAGGCACAACTTGCACAGGAGAAGACAGTGCCAGAGGAGGTGATTCCCAGTTGTCTGGCGGTAGTTTGCCCGTTTTGGCCCCTCCTATGACGTCATTCTCACCCTGAGGTCGTAGTCGAGGTCGATATACATGACACGCTCATCTGGACATGCATTCATCATAAGCCTTTTCATATAATGCCATGAAATCAGTTGGCGTCACGGGATGATACTGAGTGGATACCTGGAGGATACATTCGCCATGGACGCAAGCATGACGATAGAAATGTAAATATCTAGGTCAGCGACAATTTTCACGGCAGTTGAGTTGTGTCTCAGGTCAGCCCCTTGCATCGCTGCGAATGTAAAGGTTGTTTTCCGGCATCAGTAAATATATCACAAACGTTTATTAAACCTTTAGCACGTGATCTGTGTGAAGAACAAAACACCTACCCACACTATCTGCCGGTTTATTAAAATCGCATAAGGCTCGACCAGTGAACATTCATACATATGGACGTGCTTATACACTGAAATAGATAGTATTTGTTGTCTAGACGTTCTTTGCTTATAATTCTTAAAAGAAACTTTATTAGATATGGTAATATCGTGGTAGCTATGTGAATTTACCTCAATCAGAAAACTATTCATTCTTATACCATACCATACATACACGGATGTAATTCTTGACTGCCGTTTCACTTTAGGCAAAATGTCCTGCTATTAGGTAATTAGTTATTAGAATTACAGCGCCCTGATGAACTGAAGACGCTCCTATTAGTAATTCCGGGCACAAGTGAATCGAACTCACATACCTAGTTGAAAGGAAGCTATGTGGATTCAGAAAGTACCAAGAGATTACTTACAAGGGGATTTGGAAAGCATTTGACGTATTTTCTTTCACATTTTTAATGACAATCTGTAGTTCTTTGCATCTTAAAATGCCTTGTAACAGCGAGCGTTATTTTCTAAACTTGGGCTGATTAAAAAGAACACTGACTAAAGGTCAAACCACCATAAAATGTTTAATGAAATGTGTCCATATACTTAAGGGTGTTACGCTACTGGCAGCGACCAAATAATTTGACTCTGATTTGAGTAGTTTGCAGGTTTAATTCCGAAATTAAGCAATCTACAACAACCAAATTTAGAATGATACAGATGACGATATTTTTGCCATTATTTCTTATCAGGCCGAAAGTTTCTCTTCCATAGCTAAAAAGCTAACTGGTTGCTATACACAGTTTCTGTTGCTATGCATCGATTAACAGAAAATGTATTCACATGATATAATCAAGCCTGTTCTGTAAAAAAAAAAAAAAAAAAAAAAAAAAAAAAAAAAAAAAAAAAAAAAGGCTGGACCAGAGTATGTTAAAAAAATGTTAAATATGGATTCGCATTTCACGTCAGGATGATATCCAGCATGTGTGCAATAGGCTGTATATTACGGTTTATGTATTCTTAGTACGTCACACATATTATGTAAAAGTACGTAGAGGTCATATGTTTCTAGTGTAAAAATTCACTACAACACAACACAGACTAAAATTTTGCTTCTAAGTCTTAATATATATTTTTGCGTGTTACAAAAAAGTGACGAGCTGTCATTCTAATATATAACTCAACCAAGGAGCTCAAGAGGGGCTACCGGGCGAGCAAGTGGAAACCTCTTAGGCCGGTCTTGAGCCCAAATAAGGCTGTGGTCAAAAAGGAAACTTTAATCATTTTGTAGCCGCCAGCGCTTGCTTCTCTTGCTTTTATCTCTTCCATTCGCACATCCCTTCATTCCTCTTTTGCGCATTTCCTAATAAAGCCATAACAACGCTGACCTTTGACCTGCAGTGCCATATGGCCCTTCTTCCGTTCCATAGCACGTATAAAGCACCTTTACACAGGGCCCAAGTTGCGTTGGTTGGTTACGCAAAAGATACAAATCCATCAAGTAGATGCGAGAGGCTCCATTATGCAAGAACTGTAAATGAAAATGAAAAGCGTGAAGCGTGTGTGCAGTTATGCCATGGAACAGTATAGGTGCAATGCAGACATTAACGTTTAAGACCAGTATAAGCAATGTCAGAATAGGATGCATGACCTTGAGACACACGGCACGAGGCATGACGGAGAGGGTCGAGATACTCAAAACTTCGTGTAGTTACCAAGGTCGAAGGACGTTGTAACCACCTTACACATTGTACTTTACGAACTCCTTACTCATTGTAAAGACCCATACTCGAAACGCAAGTAGTAAGCACATTGTAAAGCCAATGTCCATATTGTAAGTTAGTTCCCTAAGCTGCCAAGAGAGGGCAGATCGGTAATTGATTGACCAATCAGCAGTCAGCCTCGTAGATGTAACAGCCAATAGAAAGCCACAGATCTCAGCTGATTTATCACCTCGCTCTTCCAAAAGTAAATAATGCCACGGAAGGTCCTACTCAAACAAAAAGAAGGCCAAATTTCCCAGATAAATAGATGTTGCCTCTAACAGAAGCTGTGGTCAAGAGGAAGAGTGTGGTTCTATGGAAAATAGACCACAAAAATAACCGGACAAGTGATAAATAACGCCTGGGAGTGTGTGACTAGTGAGGTGAATCTTGTCGCTCGCGTTCCGAGGACTGAGGCTGAAACGCGTAGGAAGTTGACAGACCTCAGAGCAGCCGTGAAAAAAAAAAAAAAAAAAAAAACGAGAGAAGTAATACATGGAAGGAACAGGTAAGATTTCTAAATAAATTTTGTTTATTATATACTGTAGGAACCCAAAATATTAGTGTTGAAATGTTGGCACAGAAGGAGTAAAGCAAATACATTATATAATTTAATAACTTATGTTCTTGTCACGGAATTGTTCATGTATTAAATTAACGTTTTATTATTGAACATATGAAAAAATTAACTCAAAGTAAATGTGAAGGTGATATCAAGTACAGAACATAATGGTGCACTCACAGATACACAACTTAGTATGAAAACAAAGGATAATGTCATAAAGAAAGTAGATTGTTGAAAAAGTAATGAGCTATATGTATCATTCTAGGAAATTGACGAGTTAAGGCAAAGGTCAACAATATAGCATTAAGTATGTATTAGTACATGCAAAACCTTATTTGTTTGCTATTATTTTAGTTCTGTATGTTTATTACTGAAATAATTTATTTCTTAGAATATCTGCAATTATATAACTTTTACTGTATTAACATTCTTCACAAACTCTAACTAAAGGAGATATTTATTTTCTATTTATAAGAATAAACACAACTCATCGTAAATAAAGCAAAATTACACACAGGATCTTATTTGTTTGGTATGATTATTTGGGTTCAGTACTTACTGATTAATCTTATTTCTTGAATTAACTTCATTAAATGAAGAATTTTCACCATGTAAATGTGCTTCACAAATGTAGTCTAATATAGATATTAATTTTTTGAAGTAATTATAAATAGCAAATTCATCCTATAAAGTAGTGAAGACTACAGAAATGAATATTAGCAGACTTATTCAGATCATAAAATCATTACCCATATTGACGATGACACAAAACCACAACAGTATGCAAGGTATTAACAAAATCAGAAAAAGTTATCATTGTCACTACAGTTTAAGATAAAATACATGACAAGTTCAAACTTCATGTATATCTGATTCATTTATTTATTTATTTCTTGTTTCCCAGATGGTGGCCCAGCAGTTCTTACAAACTACACAGCAGTTGAAGAAGCTATGTTAGCTTTGATTGAGGCTTTTATTATTTCTGGCTTACCAGGGTCTGTGAAGATGAGACAGAAGTAGATGGTAAGTAAACATGTTTCTAATGAAAGGGGGAGGGGGTAAATAATTGTGTTACCTGTAATATTTGCCAATTTTCATTACATGAAGCAACACAGCCTAAATAATACAAGCAATTGATATATATATATATATATATATATATTATATATATATATATATATATATATATAGTATAGATAGATAGATAGATTGATATTTATTCTTATTTTTAATCATAGTAAGCTGAATGTTGGTTTAGGATTTTGTAAATTTATTGTCATATTTGACTCAAGAAGTACGTATCAAAATTAAATATTGATATTTATTTTTTTAGATGTTGAAGAACCAACCCCTGGGCCATCTGGGATAGCATCTCAACCCATAATGGATTCTGAAATTGTAACAATGGATGAGAACACTTTGGAGGAGCAAGAAGTTACAGTACCCATTGTAACAATGGACTACACATACTCTGCGGAATTACCCCATTTCTTCACAGAAGAGTAACTATAAGGATGGATTTAGCCGAGACAGTGCAATGGTCCAAGAGAGAGAAACCTTTCAAGAACTGAGCAGGTCAAGCTTTAATCTTTCTGATGCTGTTATTTAAGATTTTGGTTTATTTGTTACTGAGACAGAGCAATATTTAATTTAGATTTTTTCCTTCTCTTAATTTTGTAGAGTTCAGGAGAAAGCAAATTTTATTTGATTCTATTCTAATATTCATTCAAAATAGTTATATGGTTTCAGGGACAGCTTTATTTTAATTATGTTATTATATTCCTTTATTTGCATTATATTCTTTTATTTTCATTATATTCTTTAATTTGCATATTTTTTATGCATAAAACTTATGTTATTTGTGCAATATACATTATTTGCCCCCAAAGGTTTTTGTTGATTTTGTTTCAAATGTAGTAACTGTCTTGTAGTCATAAGGCAATATAAAAAGTCTCAGTACATTCTGTATATATAGATTTTTTACACTACTTTTGTAATATATATTTACTGTATGTATCTTACCAGTTTTATAGTTTTATAATCACAGAAGGTCTGAAATAAAGTTTTATTTTTTATGCTTTTATCATAATTAACCTAAATCTAGAATATCTGGAGTAAACAAATATTTCATTTTACATATCCA